CCATAGGCGCCTGCCACAACGCCCGGCTATTTTTTGGTTGCAGCCGCCATTGTTGTTTGGCGGGTCCAGGCTGGGGATTCGAACCTGCCACCTTAGGTGTACGTGGCTGGCGCCTTAGCCGGTTGAGCTATAGGCACCGAGCCCATTCAACTTTTTAAGAGTCTTAAAAGAATAACAAGTACTTTTACTTTTCTCTTGTTTTGAGACAGAGTCTTACTATGTCACCCTTGATAGGTTGTCAGAACATCATAGCTCTCAGCAACCTCAAACTCATGGGCTTAAAGAATTCTCTTGCCTAAGCCTCCCAAGTAGCTAGGACTATAGGCACCTGCCACAACGACTGGCTATTTTTGTTGTTGTCATTGTCATTGTAGATTAGCAGGCCTGGGCCGGGTTCTAATCCTCTATCCCTGGTGCATGTGGCTGGCGCCCTAACCACTGAGCTACAGGCACCAAGCCATGCTCTTACTTTATTTAAAATTGTGTATTTTAAGTTCACCATCTTCCAGTACTTCACCAAAATTACAAACATAAGGAAAAGAGGAGAGGCACCTAATACATGTTCTCTCGGCCTTTTAGAAAACATGGAGTTGTTCTTTTGGCCACATATTTACAAATCTATGAGGAAGGTGATATTGTAGACATCAAGGGATTGGGTACTGTTCAAAAAAGCATGCCACACAAATATTACCAGGGCAAAACTAGAGGAGTCTACAGTGTCACCCAGCATGCTGCTGGCATTGTTGTAAACAAACAAGAGCAGTATTCTTGCCAAAAGAATATACATTTGTATTGCGCATATTAAGAACTCAAAGAGCCAAGCTAGCTTCCTAAAAGGTGTGAAGGAAAATGATCAGAAAAAGAAGGAAGCTAAAGAGAAAGGTACCTAGGTTCAACTGAAGCACCAGCCTGCTCCACCCAGAGAAACACCCTTTGTGAGAACCAAGGGGAAGGAACCTGAGCTCCTGGAACCTGTTCCCTCTGAATTCATGGCATAATAGATGTATGGTGTAGCATGCAGGAGAACCAAAAGAACCAGATGAGGGGACATAAGGTTCTGGGGCCTATTCCCCATGAAGTCATGGCATAATAGGCATTAAAAGTAAAAGGCTGGCTCGGCGCCTATAGCCAACCG